TAGATGCTTTGCTACAAAACACCTGGCATAAATTCTCACTGTTTATACACATTCCCCATACTTCAATTCTGTATATTCTAGAAACAAGTATTTTATTATATTATGAAGACTTGTTAAACACAGAACTGCTTAACTGCAGCACTAGAAGTTTATAAATCAAGTCATTAATTTTAAAGGTTCCCACATTGATTGCTAAACAAACAAACAGCAGAACGTTTAAGCCTTTGCCTTCTTTGCATCCCAGTGTGCTGCAAAACATTTCACACACTCACTTTGCTACAGCCCTTATTTCAAACTTGACTGTCTTCTTTGTCCTGTCCCCCCATCCCCCCACAAACTGCATCTTAGAATTTGCCTTCTTTCCAGTTGTAGATGGGACTCAGGTGTGCTCTAGGTACACTGACTTAACACCACCTCAGGTACCTCCCTATACAAGCTGGATTTCAACAACCACTTGCCTGAAGGATAGAGGTCTCCAGAATTTCTAGACACACTTCAGGTGAAAACATGTTAAGTGTTTTCTTCCAGGCTCTTTTTAAATGGGATACTTGAATGGAGGAAAACAGGATGCTTTGTATTCTTATATAGACATACTTAGGCTCCAATCCTACAAACATTTGTGCACATACTTAACTACTGCGAGTAGTTGCATTGAAATCAATGAAACAACTCATGGTAAAACTAAGCACGTGCGTAAGAGTTTGTAGGATTGGGGTATTAGATTGCAAGCTCCTTGGAGCAAAAGGTGCCTTTTTGTTCTGTTTGTATATTGCCTAGTACAATGGGGGCATGCTCCATGATTGGATAGACACTTAGACAATGAAATAATTTGTATTATAGTTGCTCATGGAGTCATGACCTAAACCCAGTCACCTAACAGAATGCAGGAAACCACTGTGCTATATGCCTATCAAGAATGAAGATGCATACTATAGAGATTCATAGAGCTTAAGGTTAGGAGGAACCATTAAATCATCTAGATTGACCTCCTGTATATCAGAGTCCCTTACATTTCACCCAGTTACTTCTGTATGCAGCCCAATAATTTGTGATTGACTAAAACATTTCTTCCAGAAAGGCATCCAGTCTTGATCTGAAGAAATCAAAAAATTGAGAATCCATCGCTTCCCTTGATAGTTTCTTCCAATAGTTCATCACCTTCACTGGTGGACACTTTTTTGCCTCATTTCCAATTTGAATTTCTCTGGCTTCAGCTTCCAACCATTAGTTCTTATGCCTTTCTCCACTAGATTAAAGAGCCTGTTCATACCCAGCAAGTTCTTCCTATGAAGGTATAATCAAGACACCTCTCAATATTCTTTTTCATAAGGTAAACAGATTGAGCTCTTTAAGTATCTCACTGTAAGGCATCTTCTCTGACCCTTGAATCATTTTTGTGGCTCAACATGGAGCAGGTGAAGACCAAATCAGGCTTTATTTATGCTGTAATGGCTTCACTCTTATGCTTCTAAACCTCCTCACATGCCATTTATTCCCTTGCAGTGGCAGAGTATATTACCCAGCCCCGGCAATTCATTCTGTATGGCTGGACCTGCACAGAACCCCACTGAATTTCATGGTACCATGTATAGGGCCTATGATGGCTATTGCATTAATTTACGTATCCTGTGCTTAGATGCCATACTGCTGATGTGAAAACCTATGAAATTATGGACATATATAGGAAGTAAAACTTCTGGCTAGGGAGAGGGGCAGTTGTGGATAGTTTTAATACACAAAAAATTGAATAAGGTGTGTCAAGAGGCGTTGCTTGTATGTTGATTCCCTTCCCCCTAATTTTTGTATCTGTTTTTAAAGATTGTGAGCTCTTGCAGAAAGGACTGATTTCTCTTGTACATCTGTAGTATCTAGCACATCTTAGGTGTGACTGTTACTCCTGGGGGAATTCTGCGTCACTGCACATGCACAGAATTTATGTCCCCTGCTGATTCATTTCCCTGCAGAAAAATGACTTTCTGACAGGGCAGCCACAAAAGCGGTCATACAACTCTCTCCAGCAGTATGTTTCGGGTGCCCAGGGCAGCCGGCAGAGAGGTAAATCACTGTTGGGTGCAGGCGGAACTGGGAAAAACATGGCTGGTGGCTCCTACCCTGCGCCAGGCTCAGCTGTTAGTCCCAGCTGGGCTGGTGAGGATGGGACTACCTCTTCCCCTGCACGGCATCTGGGGCTGGGTCAGACCCACCCAGATTTCTCCCCCAGTTGTAGGAAGCTCTGCAACCCTCTCTTTCTCCCTCCCCTGCCCCCCCCCCACGCTTCCTGCACCCATTGCTCCTCAGCTGCAGGGAGAGAGATCCCTGTACAGTGCATGTATGGATGGTATGCACCCATCCATACATCCAGACCCTTCTGCACCCTGATTCTCTCCCTGCCCCCCCAGATGAGCCCCACTCCTCCTGGACCACCCCCAGAAGCTACCTGCACCTGGATCTCTCCCCCCAACTACCTGCACCTGGATCCCAACCCCATTGAGCCCCATTCCCCCAGCATCTGGGCCCCCCACACTGACCCCCCCCCCAGCTGAGCCCCAACCACTTTCACCTGGACCCCCCCTGCCGAGTCACATTATTGTTGCACCCAGAACCCCCAAGACCCTGTCCATCTGGATTCCCCCCTGAGCTGCCAGCACCCAGATTGACCCGCACAGAACCCTCTCAACTCACACCTGGATTCTCCCACCACACTAAGCCCCTCCACACTTGGCTCCTGCTTTGCAGGCAGGCACCTAGCACAGAGGGGCAGGCCCAGTCCTTGTGATGTGTCAGGGTTGCATGCAGCCTCACCACTGAGTCTATGTCCTGGGATAGGGGAGCTACACAGTGATCTCCAGTGCCATGCTGGAGCCTCCACTTTTTTTTTTTTGACAATTTGCAGAATTTTAAATTTTTTTGGCACAGAATGCCCTCAGGAGTAAAATTAGCAAAACAATAATTTTACTGGCGGGACAGGCACCCTCAAAATAACTTCAATAGTGAAAGGTGAGTGAACAGAAAGGAGAGATGGCTTGTACTATTTCTAGTAGATCAGCTGAAGGGCATGATGGCCAAAGGATGAGCATGCCCTCATTGTTGTGGTCTTTTCCTCAGAGAACTCTTAGTAAGACCAAAGTTTCCTGCCTTTCTGTACAGAATGTTGCACAGCCTCTGACAGGCTGGACTTTCTATCTCTGAAAGTAATGATTTTCACTTTTGATGTGCAAGTTTCCTTCATGAACGTGTGATCCAGCTTGCAATGTATTTGAGATTCAGAGATGGTATAAAAGGTATAGCAAATGCAGGGAATCCGTTTTAGAGTGCCAGTACCTGAAGGGAAACTGGCTTTTTCCTTGGCAATTGCGGCTATGCTGCCAAAGGGTGCAATTCTCATCTGTTGGAGTTGATGTCAACCAAAAACAAATACAAGTATTACTTAACCGTTTTCATCTCTACACTCCACAACCATTACCTTATGGAAGTGAAGGAACTTTTTGTACAAATCAGCTACAGTTCATGTTTTTTTGTTTGTTTGTTTGTTTGTTTTTGTTTTTTGGGGGGAGTGTGTGTATGAAGTATTTTCTCCCCTCTCTTTCATCGCTCCTCAAGCACCAGAGAACATTCTTCTCTTCTCTCCCCCTCCCTCACTCCCCCAGCACTTCAAGGGAACTCTGTGAATAACCCACCCATGTTTGTATTTTCTTGACCTTTTGAGATGCTATAGGCTACTTCAGTGGATTATTTAGCAGGGATACTGCATAAAAAAGGATGCCAGTAAATAGACCTGGCAATTTCAAAATCTTTTTCTTAAACTAGTTTTGCTGCTTTCTGCTAAATATAAGCTTTTATTTGAAAAAAGTTTCTAGCTACCTTCTAAAAGGTAAATATTAACGTCAGTGAAACCTACCCACAATGTGGAAATGCATCAGAATAAACCCTTCTCCATCCTAACTTCCAACATCTTGTCAAGCCATAGTGAGGATTCAAGTGTGAGATTTCAATAAAAATGACAACATAGTAAAATATTGATAAGAGCTTACCTCTATAAAAAGGCTGCATTGATCAAAGAACGCCAGCTTTGTCTCATTCATTTTATTCACTAATATGTACCATTTACAATTCATACAGAACATTCTAAACAACTTAATGTTAGATAAAAAATAGAGGGTTTTAAAAGGCCAGAGAACTAGTATGTGGTGTAATATTAGGTTTTTCTTTTAAAAACCTAAGTCTAGATTTCATTTGCTTTGTGAAAATTTTAATGTTTTTAAAATTATCATTGTAGTCTGTCTGACAAATGCCCCATTTAATTTCCCCTTTCATTAAATTATCCACTTTAGAAATTCAAGCATACAGAAAAATTCTATGTTGGTAAGACAGGAGTTAAGACTGAAATTGTTCTCAAGTATAACACATTCCATTAAAAATTTCAGACTAAATCCTGCTTTTACCTGTCAAATCATCTTCAGAAAATTACAGTACAGTATCAGGTATGACTTTAAAATTTTCAGTGTTGCACAAAATCAAACCAGATTTGATATTCTCATTCAAAGAGTCTGAGTTTGATCCTACACCATTCAAAATATATCTTCAGTTAGACATAAAATGTGATTTATTTAATTAATTAATTATTTTTTTAAATTCTGCAGTATGGATGATGAAAGAAACAGCCTGTGCCAACATAACTGCAGCATGCACTCACCATTGTACAGCATAACACCCCCCCCCCAATTTTTAATATTTGAGATCTGGACATAATACTCTTGCGTGTACATCACAGCTGCTCTCAGATCAACAAGCTTCTGTCAGAAAGGAGAATGACGTTTCAAGTCATAAGAGCAGGAGGAACAAGAGGATGACACATCTGAAAGCATAAGTTTTGTGCACATATTTATGACCCATGTTGAGTCACTGGAGAGCGAAGCTTAAAAAAACCAGACTGCTTATATCTAAACTTTGACTATAAGTTTAGGTGTGGTTTGTTGTTTTTTTTTTTTTTTCTTTCTTTCTTTTTTCCTCCCTTCTTTCGCCTTTCACTTTTAAAGGCAAATCTGAAGAAACTTATCAGTGGTTTGGCTTTTCATTTAATCTTCTCTGGGTGTCTTAGCTGTGTAGTGATCAGCTTCCAATTTCAGGTCTTAAGATTCCTAGTTGCGAACCATATGCTCTGGGACCTGCAGTAACAGAAGACAAGCATGATATAATTATATTGTGGTGTTCTCTAGTATTGCAGACCTGTTTATTAGAACAAGAGAGACAAAAGGAAAAGTCCATGGGGAAGGGGAGATAATGGATGACACAAAGAAGGCAAAGGTGTATAATGCCTATTTGCTTCAGTCTTTACTAAAAAGATGCTTAACAAAAATTAACACAAACCAAAATAGGGTAAGAACTGGTTACAGAATATTTAGATATGTTAGATGTATTCAGATAGTCAAAGCCTGATGAAATTCACTCTAGGATACTGAAGCAATCTCAGAATCATTAGCGATTATTTTTGAGAACTCATGGATGATGGGTGAGGTCCCAGAGGAGGGCTGTGATGGGGTGTACTGGCCCCACACTGGAGAGGAAGGGGTTAAAGCAGCGTTCTTAGCAGCAAAAGCCACACCTCGCCGACCCTACTGGGCATTCTCCAACTGCTGCTGCTACAGTATAAAAGGGAGCAGCCTAGCTCAGTCTCAGCTGGCTGCCAGGGAGGAAGGACACAGCTTGCCTGCGTCAGCTGAGGAGTAGCCAGAATTCCAGATCACAGGAGATGCCGAGTCCCCAGGGAGACTCCACCTGAGGAGCCCAGAGACTCCCAAGACACCACGATTTCAACTGCAAGAGTCACGGTAGGAAGTAGCCCAGGGAGGGACGAGCCAGTGTCCTGGCAGCAGTCAGCATGTTACGGACGGATTCCCCACTGACTTTAGTGGTGAACCCATTCACCACTACCAGGGCCCTGAGCTTGGACCAGGGAGGGCCTGGGTCCCCCTACCTGGCTGCCCCCTTTGGGGGGTGGCCCACCAAACCACCTCCCACTGACTGGCCATTAGGCTGTGCTTCCCCACAGCCAAGGGGAACCCTTCTGACTTTGGCCATTAGGCCATGCATCCCAAGGGAGTCCTATTGACTCTGGTCGTTGGGCCAAGCTTCCCTGTAATCCAGGGGAGTCCTATTAGCTTTAACCCTGGGCCTACCCTGCCCTTGCCCCACCTCCAGGGGGATGGGGTGTACTGGCCCCATGACAAGGGCAAATACTGTACCGATCTTTAAAAAGAACAAAGAAGAGCAAGGCAATTATAAAACAGTCACCCTAACTTTGAAATCTGGAAAGATATTTGAACAAATTATGAATCAATTTGTAAGCATCTAGAAGATAACAGGGTTTAAGTAATAGCCAGCAAAACAAATCATGCCAAACCAACCTCATTGACAGGGTTGCTGGCCAAATGGATGGGGGGAAGCAGTAGGTGTGACATTTTGATTTTTAGTAAGGATTTTTGACACAATCTCACATAAAGAAACTAGGGAATGTGGTTTAGATTAAATTACTATTAACTGGTTGAAAGACCATACTCAAAGAGTAACTACCAATGGTTCTCTGGTGGGGTTCTGCAGGGGTCAGTCCTGGGTCCTGTACTAGTCAACATTTTCATTAATGACTTGGATAATAGAGTGGAGAGCATTCTTACAATCTGCAGGTGACACCAAGCTGGGAAGGGTTGCAACCACTCTGGTGGACAGGATTAGAATTCAAGACCAGCTTGACAAATTGGACAACTGGTATGAAATGAACAAGAAGAAATTCAATAAAGGCAAGTGCAAAGCACTATGCTTAGGAAGGAAAAATCAAATGCATAACTACAAAATGGGGAATAACTGTCTAGGCAGTAGTAGTGCAGAAAAAGATCTGGGAGCTATAGTGGATCTCAAATTGAATGAGCCAGCAATGTGATTCAGTTGCAAAAAAGGCTAATGTCATTCTGGGGTGTATTAATAGGAAGTGCTGCATGTAAGACACAGGATGGAACTGTCCCCCTCTATTCCACACTGGAGAGGTCTCAGCCGGAGTAGTGTTCAGTTTTGGATGCCATACTTTAAGAAATATGTGAACAAACTAGAGAGAGTCCAGAGGACAGCAACAAAAAACTGTTACGAGGTTTAGAAAACCTGACCTATGAGGAAAGGTTAAGCTGGATATGTTTAGTCTTGAGAAGATTGAGGGAGACCTGATAACAGACATCAAATATGATAAGGGATCTTAAAGAGGATGGTGGTCAATTGTTTTCCATGTTTAATGAAAGTAGGACAAGTAGTAATTGACTTAATCTGCATCAAGGGAGACTTAAGTTACCTATTAGGGGAAAACTACAGGATAGTCAAGCACTGGAACAGGCTTCCAAGGGAGGTTGTGGTACCCTCGTCAGTGGAGGTTTTTATGAATAGATTAGACCAGAGGTTCTCAAACTGTGGTTCGTGACTCTGTTTTGATGGGGTCACCAGGGCTGAAGCCCAGAGCAAGGCTGAAGGTAGGGGGGGTCACGATTTTTTTAAAGTCTAAATGGGGTCACCAGCACAAAGTTTGATAAACACTGGACTAGACAAACATCTGTCAGGGATGGTCTACATATACTTCATCTCGCCTCAGCACAGGGAGCTGGACTAGATGACCTTCTGAGGTCCCTTCTAGCCCCACATTTCTATGATTTGCTACTTCATAGGATAGGAGAGTAAAGGTGTCAGGGCATGCCATCCCAACATAGCTGTGCCTTTCTTGTATTGTAGCAATGTGTGACAAAACAGACCAGCTGAGTTCCGCCTTAGCACCATGATGAGAACACTAAAATGCAATATTAGGACTTCATGCTGCAATTTTTTTAATTATGCACCTCCAGATTGGTGCTCCAACTCAAAGATAAGTGTCTCTGCTTTAGATTAGGCAGTTATGCCTGGTCCATTCTATTAGGAGAGCTTGCAGAGAACACTATATTTGTTGAGAGCAGGCATCATTCACCATGCCAACCATGCAATGGAGAGTACTATTTTGTGCAAGTTCATAGAAGAAGCAAGTAATATTTATCAATTGCTGTTGCCTTTTTTTCCTTGTGTGTGTTTTAGGGGACCTATGCTGAAGGAATGCAAATGGCATGATATCGCAAAAAAAATTAATTTCTTTGAGACACCTCTGGGGGTATGTAAGGTTTGAACTTTTCATAGAGCTTAATTTTCAAGAATTAAGAATAAATTCACTAGCTTCAACAAAAAGAGAAGTTACCAGCCAATTATTTCCTGCATTTGATTACTTTACAGGGAGCAGCCATTGTCCTTATTAGAAGTGCATAAACTTGTTAACCACTTCTATGCCTAAGCATTACCAATCAAAAGTCATTACTATTACTGCCAGCTTCTAAGTATTCCTCTACCCCGATATAACGCGACCCGATATAACACAAATTCGGATATAACGCAGTAAAGAAACTCCGGGGGGGCGGGGCTGCGCGCTCCGGCAGATCAAAGCAAGTTCGATATAACGCGATTTCACCTCTAACGCGGTAAGATTTTTTTGGCTCCTGAGGACAGCGTTATATCGGGGTAGAGGCAGCGGTGAGCTGGAGCCGGTTCCCACTTGCGAATTAGACGCCGGTGTAGAACCGGCTGTTAAGGGGCGGGCGGGTGGGCAAACAACTCCAGTCCGTGGGCCACATCTGGCCCGCTGAACCGTCCTGTCCCCCATCTGAGCTCCCAGGAGTCCCCCTCCGCAGAGCCGCAGCGTGCCGAGCCGCCAGCAGCTGGGCAGCTCAGCTCCCGAGTCCTGCTGCTTTGAGCAGCCGCAGGCAAGGTGTGTGAGCTCCAGGGCCACCCGGGGGGGGGAGGGGCGCGGCAAGTGGGGCAATTTGCCCCAGGCCCTGGGCCTCGCAGGGGCCCCCGGCCCCACGAGTTTGTCTCCGGGGCTGAGCTCCTCCCGCTCAGAGCCAGCGGGCCAAGCGGCAGGAGCTCAGCAATGCTCCAACGTTTTGTCGGGTGTAAGAAAGCTAGAGGGGACAGAGAGGCAGCCTAAAGAGCCAAATCTGCTTGCAAGCTTTCTAATTAAATAGTGTCCACTGGTTACTTGGGAGGTAGGCAGCCGTTGGGAGAAAGTTGTATATTTTTGCAATTTAAAAAAAATATAATTTCCATTATAGGGACAATGTTTTATAATTATTTAAAATACTCACGACCAACAATTCTATGTTATGAGGAAAACTGTGGTCTGTGCTTTACTAAAAAATAATAGGGCGCTTGCTTTTTTCTAGCCCGGTGGCTGTTATCCTATACTACAGTCCTGTATTACTAGTGTTTCCATTTCATAAACTAACAACACTATTCAGAAGAGGGGGGGAAATGTCCTTCCACTCTCCTGCAGCTGCAGCCCTGTTTCACCTACTCAAAAAAAGCTCTAGCAGAACTTGCATCAAAACCTAAACTCTGTGTGAACGTGTAGGGTTTTGTTTTGTCCAGTGGGCCATTTTAAAACATAAATTATAAGATTATTTTTCTCCTTTGTATCAATCACTGAACTGTTCTTCACCGATCCCCGATAAACATGTAAAAATGTGTTGTTTGTTTGTTTGTTTTTTGGTTTGTTGTTTGTTGTTGTTAAGTAGGACTCCCAATGATGACTCAATGCATTGCCATTTCTTATGGAGAAAGGTACAAAAAAATACATACTGTGGAACATCCCTTAAATCAGAACCTTTTTATAGGGAACCGGTTGTTAAGATTTTGGCAGCTCATCACTGGGTAGAGGTGTATCATACACATTAGAAATCTATAGATATCCCTTTTTAAAAAAAAAAAAAAACCAGGATGTTGCAGAGGATATGTAAACAGGATACTAATCGTGGAAATTCAAAAACCCAAAATGTAGTCAGATTAAAAATATTAAGTAAGATGATAGGTTTGTGATAATGCACTTGTGTTAGTTATCTGAAAGTAAATGTATTCCACTGATTTAAGATAAATGGTGAACGATACCATACACCATTAGTTTGAAAAGCAATAAGTAAAATGCAAAAGGAAAATCATTTTTCTAAACAAGAGGCACTAAGGATTAGATGACTTACTGCTGCTTTCAAAGCTTGCTCCAGATCTTCCAGTATATCTTGTGCATCCTCCAAACCAATTGACAGGCGAATCAAAGTATCATTGATCCCAAGAACCTCTCTCTCCTCTTCAGGAATTGAGGCGTGAGTCATAATGGCCCTGAACGAAAAGAAAAATAGTCTCTGTGCAGACCCATTAGGGGGTTTATTAAATAACTAATTTAGCTGGCCTTTACAATTATCTGCCAGCTCTGTAGGAGTGGTGACTATTTTCTGAACAGCAATTTTGTGATCGCCTCTACTTAATCTACACATCAAAAGCCCAGATCCTCAGATAGTGAAAACTAGCATAGCTCCAATTAAGTCAATGGGGCATCAACTAGAAGAAATCTACATAGCTCCATTGACTTCACTCGTTTGTACTAGCGGAGAATCTGGTACAAAATTGCCTGACTATAACTGCTAAAGAAAAACAGTGGGTACTTTGGACACTCTAGCTCCAAGTTTTCATCTGGATAAGGAAGCAACATCCTATACTACTTTCCTTCAACCTTTTTATTGTATTTGTCTAAACATGTGATATCTAAAAGTTTTCCTGCTGGAACTGGATATCTGTGTTTAAAGACCATGGTTTGAAGGTAAATTCAAAGAAACTGAGGTTATGCAAGTAAGGAAGGTAGAAGAACCGAGTGAGTTTCAGGTGAGAAGCTGAATCAGAAAGAATTTGTGTACTTGGAAACATAGGTGGCGAGTTATTGGTGGAGCATGGGCACCATGGTCCCCTATGTTTGGGCTTATATCTTCAGAGCCGTCCTGTCCATAGGATGGACCGGGGCAACTGCCTCGGGCCTCGCACTTTGTGGGACACCGTGCTTCATGGGGAAGCAGGGTCCAGGGTGGCCTGGGTGGTTTGCAGGGGGCCTGGTGCCGACAGCAGCAAGTGCCCCTGCCCCACCCCCACTCCAACCCTTCCCCCAAGTCCCCACCCTTGCCCCATCTCTTCCTATCCCTGCTCCGCCCCGCCTCTTCCTGCCCCTTTCCCCAAGCCTCCGCCCCACCTCTTTCCGGCTTCCGCCCCCTCCCCCAAGTGACACCAGGAGCCGGAGGGGCAGGGCAGGCTGGGGCCGGGTCGCTCACTGCTGCCGGCACCAGGCCCCCCACTAACCTCCCTGGCCACCCTGAACCCTGCATCCCCCTGAAGCATGGGGCACCCCAAAGGGTGGGGCCCAGGGTGATTGCCTTGGTCCATCCTATGGATGGGATGGCTCTGCTTGGACCCATTCTGGGCACCACCAAAAATTATACAAACCTGGAGCCCATGCTTGGAAAGTATACTTAGTGCCACTGGAGAGAGATTTGGAGAACTGACAATAAGAACCCAATGTTCATGGGTGGCAGTGAAAAACGTAGTAGGAGTATTGAGACCAGCAATTAAGTTACAAACTGAAAGAAAAAGTATATGCTGCATGTGTCTGTCCCTGCCTGATCTATGATTTGGAAATTATGGATCTTACAGAGAAGGAAGAAAAGAAGGTACAAGTAGTAGAAAATGATATACTGGGGAGAATGGAAGGCTAGAGGAGGGTAGATAGAGTGAGCATGGAAGAAATTAGGAGGAAGATGAACTTGGGCCTTTCAATGACAAGCTGGAGAGTACAAGTTTGAGGCGAGCTGGACATATGGATAAGAATGGGAGAAGAATGACCAGCAAAGAGAGAATGGCAGGAACAGGACAGCAAGAAAGGAGGTGGAAAATCAAGGATATGATGGAAAGACTGTTGTGACACACTGCTAGACAGGATTAAGAATCCTGCAGAATAATGACCCAAATTCAACCTTTAGGGCCATATTGGTAGATAATGTTTGTATTTTTGTGTTTTTATTTATTTTAATTTATATATTTTGTTAGAGGTTAATGTAACCAAACAGTTCCTGTCTATGCTGTAATCTATTAATTCAGAGATGAAAATGAGAGCCTAACAGTTACATGAACTGTAAATATAGTAATATCACTATATTGATCTCTTTGAAGTATATAGCAAATCACCTGCAAATGGTGGAAAATGGGCAATTGCCTTATGTTAATCCATGTAGCTAATTACTGGTGATGCTTAGGTCTACTTCAGAGTCTCAATTACCTATTGTTAGCCTAAGGATTCTGAGCTGTCAGGAGAAGGCCTGGAACTGTATTTAAAAAAAAACAACAACCTTGGATCCTGATCCTTTTTATCTCTGATCTGCTTGATGCATTATGCTGGGGAAGCTTGAGTTGTAAGACTGAGATCTCCGGTCCTTCCTGGATATGAATATTGGACTATAACCTATGAACTAATTCTGATAGAACTCTTTGCAACTACAGTGCTCACTATCTCTACTATGAAACTAATCAACTACACTTATGTCTGTATGTATACTGATCTTTTAACCAATACACTTTAAAAAACACTTTAGTGTAAGAATTGGCTGTAAGCGTGTATGTGGGTAAGATGTGAAATATTCATTAACCTGGGAGGTAATGCTTCCGATCCCTTGGGATTGGTAGAACTTTCTTATATGATTAAGATTTTCACTAATCCCCATCGTATTTGACTTGGGTGTCTTGGTAGAAGCCCAAGGCTGGGTTGCTATAAGGGAACTGTGTTTTGGCTTCCGGGTAACCAGTATGGTATTACAGAAGTTGTTTTGGGCAGGCTTGGTAAATCTAAGTATTGGAATATCCACCAGCTTTGAGAATTATCTGCCCTAATTGAATAACCTCAGTGTGGCTCCCCGGGAATCCTGGTCACAACTGTCAAGAGGTTTAAAGAGGAAAAAGGATTGGAACTCCAAGGCCTACAAACTTGTGCCATCGACCAGGAGGAGTGGTAAAGAATTGTGGGTAACTCGGATCCCATGTAAACCAGAAAAGGAGTTGAGAAGGGAAGTGAATTAAACAAACATTCCTAGACATTCAAAAGTGGGCCACATAGAAGAAATCCTTATGAATTTTCTACCTTAAGGTAAGAGCTGATAGAGCTTTATAGGTATTAGACTCAATACTGCCCTTATTTACAGAGTGGTATCTCCCATTTGATTTCAGTGGGCAGAAGAAGACAATGGTATACACATCATGCAGAGAATGGCCAATTTTTCCTTTGTATTCTCCTCACCCCAAGCTGACAGACAATATTAAATTCATTTTCACTACTGGCTGCAGTGGCTACGGTATTAGCAGAGAAGCACAGATCTTGAAAGAGTCAACCATTTTATCTTCAAAGTCTTCAGATAAGCCCAGAATGATCTAGTGTCAGGTAATGAAGTATTGTTTCAAACCCTATGTTAAAATACACAAAGTTTACTGGTTTCAGAGTGGTAGCCGAGTTAGTCTGTATGAGCAAAAACAAAGAGGAGTCCTTGTGGCACCTTAGAGACAAACACATTTATTTGGGCATAAGCTGTGGGTGGGTGGGTGGAGATTAGAGAGAGAGAGAGAGAGATACACACTGCTTACTGTATTTTTCACTCCATGCATCTGATGAAGTGGGTTTTAGCCCCCGAAAGCTTATGCCCAAATAAATGTTAGTCTCTAAGATGCCACAAGGACTCCTCTTTGTTTTTACAAAGTTTACTGGGTATGAAAAACAGGTGCATGTAGTTTTGTGTGCCAAGTATGCCCTCTTGTGTAAGGAGTTAGAATAGCAGACTTCTTTTACACTAGCAAAACTGAAGAATAAGTACAGTAGAACCTTAAAGAAAAGAACACCAGCGTTATGCACTAACCTGTCAACTGGACACCATGTGAAACTGGAAGTAACCAATCAGGCAGCAGCAGAGGCCCACCCCCCCAACAAATCCAACCAAGTACTGTGCCTGTATTGCATCTTAAAGGTAGGTACATCTGGGCTGTCTGTCCCCACACACTTACAGCTAGGAAGTGAAGATACTGGGGCTGCCAGCCCAAGACTGCCAGAGCCAGCAGAGCAGGAGCAGTGCCAGGGTCTGTGCTGCTTTCACCCCCTCTCCTCTGGCCAGAAGGTGGGGGATGTACTGTTTTTACCTCCCCACCTCCAGACCGAAGGGAGACAAGCTTGCAAGGAAGCTGCTAGCCCTGAGGAGGGAGCTCAGATCCTACTGGAGCATGGCCTGGACTGTCAGCTGCTGGAGCCTAAACTACACTTTGTTCAGAATTACAAACATTTCAGAGTTATGGACAACTTCCATTCCCAAGGTGTCTGTAACCCTGAGGTTTTACTGTACATAGTGTAGATTTAGTGACTCCATTGTCCATACTTTCATTCGTGGCTGAGACTCCCACTTTGAAGAAGGCAGGCCAAAGAACAATACTGTGCTGCAAAAAAGCCAATGATTATACTGTGGAAGAAACTGAAGGATATTCCTTGATTTACAGTGACTGAGGGGGCAGTTCTTCAGTTTCAGTTGATCTAAATGCTACTAACATAACCTCACCTTAAGCCAATGACACAATAAAATATAGTATTTTTGAGGGACGAATTTTATCTGCTTTTGCTTCACTTGCATTTTACTAATCCTGCTAGTTTCTATAGTTAAGGATAAGAGAGGCAAAGATTAAATACGCTCTGGGTGAGATTCTAAGAGGCACAGCACAGAACTTGCAGCCCAGTTGCTCTAGGGGAGACAAAGGTGATTCTTTGTGCCCTCCCAAGCCCTTGAGGCCTGTGTAAGTTACACCAGCTTTCCAGGGCTGCCTTGGGGGGGGGGGGGGGGTCACAGCGCCACCCAGAATCTCCACAGTGCTGCGCACTGCAGCTCATTATGCCTTGTAGTTCATGTATGTGGTATTTTGAACTGATGGTGTTATCTGCTGTATGCAGATATTGTGAATCATAGTTTTGTCAGGCAATGTATCCAGAAAGGGGGGATGTGGTTCTTGATCGTCACATCTTTCTGCAAATACTTTAAAGACAATGCAGAGCAGTTTGCTTTGAAGCCCTGGCTCAGCCCCCCACTTGCTGGGCCTGCCAGACCAGTTCCAGCAGGAGGGACTCAGCCCCTTGGAGAGGGAAGGGGTCAAGCAATCTCAAAAGTGTTTAAACACATAGATACTCCTTTGAAGGGATCTGACAGTTAAGGGGGAGGATGACCCAGACATTATTGGGGAGCTAATTGACCCCTGGGCTCCAGAGGTCAGGGTAAGACAGGGCTATCTAAACCTTTAGGTAAGATAGATATACACATAGATGACTTTTTAAAACAATAAACAGTCTCTCTCATATCCTATGCTGCATTCCTACTGTTAAGATTAAATAATACTTTGTTTTATGGAGGCTGTGTGGGGTCACTATATTCACCACTGATCACATCTCATGAAGGGAAGAACAGCAGGTAGCCAAAACCCAGTTGGATCTACTGATCAGTCATGTTTGGTATCTAGGGCACTGTAGCCTAGCACCCAGTCTGAGAGTGGAAGAATCAGGGAATTCCACCACAAGGAGGCTAAAGACTTGAGACCTAAGATATGGAGGGGGTGCACTAAAGTGTCCAGAAAAGGGGACAAACATAAAGCTTGCTCTGAACTGTGACACTCCCCTCCTGCTCCATGCCCCACCCTGCCACCTACAGCAGGACTTAGGAGGGGATGCTTAGAAGTAGGAGTGCAAGTAGGGCAGTACCCTCCAGTACCCTGTACCTGCAAGAGATTTCTAGTAGGTTGCAGTGGCGGGGTGGGGGAGGGTGCAAGGCTGCACTCTGCTCCTTTTGGGCTAGGGAGGGCATTCATTCTTAGGGCTTTTACAGCACAATCCATATGCTAACAAACTTAAACAAAGGCTTTGTTTAAGTTTATTAGCATATGTAGTGCTGTTTTATGTTGGTCATGAGTCCTCAGGAGGGGGGATGGAAGGTATTTAAATAAAAGTGTTTTTGGTTCTTTTTCTCCCCATTGGTCTGAATTATCCATGACATTCATACTGTATCACATCAAGTCCAAATCATTAGAGGAATGCCTCTGCTTGCACTGACCAGAGGATGTTTAGAGTCTGATGTCAGCCCAGTTCTGCAGCCTGACAGGAATCAATGGTGTTGTCCCAGTGTAATTAAACATAGAATTCTGCTTTGCAGCCAAATGAGTCTAACATGCATTTTGTTAACTGGAACTGGAGCAGCAAAATAAAAAAAACAAGGGCCTCATTTTCCAGCTTTGTGGGTGAGAGAACTATAAATGAAGATTATAATGCTGGACACTGATGGCCTTAAACCAGCTGCCTCAGGAATCTGCCAAGAACTTTGCTGAAAATATGTTCCTCATCTTAGCAATGGTGCTAAGACTTATCACACATCTGCCCACCTTTATTCGAATGAAGCTCCTTCTGATCTGACAGCTCAGGCATTGTCAGTTTCATCCAGAACAATTTACAAACTTGGAATCTAATCCTGTAAACCCTTAATCATTTGATCAGTCCCATTGAAGACAATGGGACTATTTGCATAACTATGGACCATTTTTGTGGCAAGAGGTTCAGGAGTCCGTTCCTATAAAGGAAGTTGAATCCCCCCCATTTGAAATACGTTTGGGTACAATAGCATAATGCAGTTTAGGATACATTCTACTTAAAATTTGTCTTTTAATAAATCATACATATGCTGAAATGGCTCCTCACCCAAATCCCATATTCCATATAAACAGACTGAATACTACATATTTGGGGGGGAAAGTGAGGAGTTAAGCATGTTCATATATACAAAACACCCATTTCAGCACTGCACTGGAAAATATAGTTGAACTTAAACTTTCTTCAAATTCCATAGAAAATTAACAGCCCCAATTGTTTTCTGTGTTAATCAGTGTGTACCTGAAAAAATTAAATGCCTTCTAAGAGAAAAGAATCAGTCCACACTTACTAAAAAAAAAAAAATTCCTTCCAACTGGTGTTCAGAAGAGTGCTACAAGACACATACATAACCTCATGAGCAAAGGGTGGAGAGGATAATGTGGGAGGATATGACCAGCAATAAATAAAAAAATCTCAAAGAGGCAGAGGTTCACAGATTTGCAAACCTAAAAACCTGTGTTATGCTTTAAACCACCTCATCACATAACTTTTTAATGTCCATAAACCTGGTAACTGCAAAGGAACACTGAAGCCCATTAACCTGAATGTGTGCCAGTATGCCGTCACTGACTAGGCTCAAAGGCTCATTCACAGCTGAACAGCTAAAAATTAACCTTGCCCTTTTAGGCTAAAACAGTCATATCACTGGCTCCATCTCTGTTGTTACATAACAGAGAACAAAACTCCAGTGGGGCATGGTGGTGGCACAGAGGGTCTCAGGTATGTGATGTGATTTTTCAGAATCTCTTGTAGTCATGTACATGAAATAGCTGGTACTTATGATTATGCTATTTCTATGCATGTATATTCATCTTGGTATCTGAAGTTATGAATATTAGCTATGTTTACTACATGTTTGCTCCTGTGGTAATGCCCACAAGTTATTTAGCCAGCACATGAAGGGACAAGTCAAATTGAACGGCTCATTAAGGAACACTTAGCTCACAATGAACCCTGGAATACGCCTGTCTACACTTACTGGATTTTTCCTGTGAACATTCTAACTACAATATGGGTTGGGGTGATGGACATGTAACTTGCCCATGTGACTCCAAATACCATCTTTCACAGTGAGAATAGATTTCCCTTCACTTGGCAGAAGCTAAAAGGCCCTGGAACCATCTCCATTTTGCTTCTTTCCTGCTCCAGCCTCTGGACAATGAACATATCCTAATGGGAGCGTTCTAACCAAGGGACTGAGGGGACTTCAAGGTAATCTGGAGCCTTGATATTCCTTGATCCTTTGCAGGTGGACTTATGAGTTGGATATGGTACAGAGACTGTTCTAGCCTCATTGATTTCTCCCTTGCCTTGCAATGGACAAAGATCAGATGTCTGCTGACTTTCTCACATGAGTCAGCAGCCTTTGATACCTGTGGTATAAGCAACATAGCTCTTGCTTGAGTGGTTTTGTTCTTTCCTCTCCAAATGTCAAAGCCTGTTCCCATTGAACTCAATAGCAAAACTCCTTTTGATTTCAACAGAACAGGATTTGGCCCCAAGAGATCAGAGAATGTGATTTTGATCAATTGCTTATCTGTCCAGAGATATTTCTCATGCATGTTCTGCCAGGCTGATTTTGATTGCCCCTCCTGTATGTCATGCTGAGGAAAATAATAAAACAATGCACATGGCACAAACAGTTCTATGCCTCTTTTCCATCAAACCCAGATGGCGCAGCATCTTTGCTTTCTTAGTGCCTGGCGGAGAGCAATACTTAGATAAAGGCAAGCTGGCAGAAGCTTAGTTTGGACATAAGGGAGGCACTGATAGTGTGTTAAAGGAAAGTGGGGTGATTATCCTTCCTATCCTTCTTTCATTTAAAAAGTTTTCAATTTGGGGTGCTACTGGATCCTCAATGACACCTGGAAGTACATGTAGGTGGCACCAGGGGCCTAAAGCATCATTTTACAACGGCATTTGTTTAACACATGGAGGGCCATGTGGGGAGGTCATGTCGTTCATCCCCCCCGCCGCCCTTGCGTCCCTCCTATGAGTGAAATACCGGCAAGAAATGATTTCTACTTGCACCACTGCTTAGACGGCAGCCTTATGGCCATCCTCCACAATGCCTAAAATAGGGGAATTCTCCATCAGCCAGAACCATGGCTTTTAGGGCTACTTTATGCTATTGTGACCCTTTTACCTGGCATTTTATGAGACTGGAGTGGAGGTAAAGAAATCATGGGAAGGTCTTGGTGACAGCATACTGTACCATTCAAAGCAAGAGTCTTCCATTGTTTAAATTTCTAAAATAAGATCACATCACTGCTCATTTCTTGACCAGCCATAAAATGCTCACATGATATAAAAATTAGCTCTATGTTGCTTGGCCACAAAGTGAAACATTCCAATTTTAAACACTACACAGTTTCAAGATGACCACAAAATCCAAATGGAAGCTTTTCTTCCAAAGTATGTATAATTTAAGGATTGTTTCATCTTAAATCTCTACTGGAAGACTGACTTACGGATGTTCTGCTAGGCTTTCATATCCTCCCAGACTCTCAGCCAGCGCGAAAAGCTATAGCAGGAAATACAAAAGTTCACTTTGAAAAACTGCTTGTTTATTTATTTGAAACAAAGGCAAGAGGATTTAAAATAGCTACATTGTAGAGGAAAAGGCAATTATGTCTTATAATTTACTTAATTTTGAAGTAGAATTTGCTGAACTAGAAAACCACAAAAAACTTTCATACCATGGAAAAAATACTGGATGCAATAAGAAAAAACAATTGGTATGTAGTTTACTAGCAAAATGTTACTGGGTCTGAAAACATCAGCCTTAACTTGACTAAAGAAGAGAAGGAGGCGAAAGTAAGCAACTCAAGGAAGAAATTTTTGTCAGGGCTAACCAGGGTGCACCCCTGAGCTTTGAGTATAGTCAGAGTGGGGATGGGGTGAATCTCTTTGAAAAAAATAAGAGCAGAACTAAAAAACTTTAAATTGAAATTACTCCCTCCTCTCTCTTTACCATATCCCTCTCCTGTCCTAACTATTAATTCTTCAGGTTTCATGCACCCCTACACTTTCTGGGCCCAATCAAGGGCAGAACTGATGGAACACTGTTTCAGAGGTATTTTACTTGTGTTTGCAGCCTTACTAGAAGCAGAAAGGTCATGAGATTCTTTTCTCACAAGATTACTCATATGATGTTGCAAACCCAGAAATTTGGAGGAGAATCCAAACTTAACAGAATTCAATTGCTGATCCTTTGAGAAATGCCCACCACCCATTAAAGGTCTTCACTAATCACTGATCTTTAATCATAGATATGTTCTTGCACTAGATGACAAAATGCTCTCTACATACTCTGCTGCATTCAGAAATATACACTAGATGTGTGTCTGCTGAGGATGCAGCAGCTGCTGTCAGGATCAGCATGCCTGCTATTGTTCCTCTTGCCTCTTCTGCATTCAGGAGTAATCCACTCCTTGTATACCCAGACAGTCTATTTTAGAAAACACCTCTTTCCTTAAGCATCAGCCCAACAATTGATTAGCCAGGACACTGAGGGGCTGGAGGTGAAAACACTCAGAGGGAGGTGAATCCTTGATTCTGGAATTTGCTTCTCCCTATTAAACAAACAGAGGCAGAGACGGCTGACCTTCCAGAGCAGGATGAAAGACTCATTTTTGTACTCAAACCTTTGTTTGTGGGATGTTATTTGATTATGTGAAATTTCAGTTGTGATTTTATTTGGGGAGTGAGGGCTAGTGGTGGTGGGACGGTATGGGAGGAAGAGAAATCCTTAATTTGACTGTCAATATAGCTACTAATTGGTTCTGTTTTAAAAAATTTACCAAAATGTGTCCAGAGAACAATAGCCATGAACAAGTTCAATGATGAAGTTTAAGAAAAAGGGAGCTAAACAATGCTTTAAAGCTCATGTTACGAGAACACCTGTCAGGTGATCTGCCAGAAAGAGGAGCCCTTCCTTTTGGAATATGGATCATGAAGAAGTCTCAAAAGGCATTTTCTATTGTCAAGTATTTTAAAATGTTCTAGCAGTGTTACATCAGAAACAGCTTTTCTGCTTTCAAATTGCATTAACAGTTGTCAGAAGATATGCAAATACACCTCTACCCCGATAGAACGCTGTCCTCGGGAGCCAAAAGATCTTACCGCGTTATATCGAACTTGCTTTGATCCACCAGAGTGCACAGCCCCCTCCCTCCCCCCCCGGAGCGCTGCTTTACCGCGTTATATCCAAATTTGTGTTTTATCGGGTTGCGTTATATCGGGGTAGAGGTGTACTTTTAGTAGCAACACATGGTTTAAACTAGCTATATAAGCCCCAGCTATGATTGTAAACACTTCAAATGGGCGGATACTTCCTTTTCTTCCTTCTCATTACTGTGCCATCTCATAATTATCCATTATTTAGATTGTGGTACTACCCAAATAGATTAGAAGCTTCCCAAACACATAGGAAGACAGTCCTTGCTTTGAAGATAACCGCTTCCTCTTTCACTCAGAATCCTAACAGAGTCACAATCAGGTTCTCTTACAGAATTAGTTTACATTCATTTGAAGGGAAATTACCTTTAAATTCTTGAGAAAGATTTCAGAATGTTCAAGATTTCCTTTAATGTAAAAGGTGACCATCCCAGGACAGCCAGTGGCCTGACGCTTCATTAGCTCATGCTGAGGATGCGAGGGCAGTCCTGAAATTAATCACATTCTGAATAAAACAGCTTATACAGTCTGTTAAAATTATATCAGAGAAGAGCAAGCCACACTAAGGCACATAAAAAGCAACCTTCAAGTGTTAAGCAGCATAGAATCAACTGCAAGATAAATGCCTATGCCGGAGTAAAACTTACAAATCAAATTCAATGGATGTATCAGCAACACCTAGGAATGCAGCATCCTATACCAAACAGAGACAGAACCAAAATATCTTCTCTTCAGAAATCCTGCAACTTACCAGGATAAATGACTTTTTCTACCCGGGGATTTGATTCAAGGTACTGAGCAACAGCCAGTGCATTGTAGAAATGCTGCTTCATCCGGATCTGCAGTGTCTTTAAACCCCGATTGCAAAGGTAACAGTCAAAAGGAGATGGAACTGCTCCAAGGGCTATAAAATAGCACAATATTACAAATATATAAAAAACCTCTTCTGCCTTATTGAATAAGGTCTTACTTTCCAAACTGACCCCTGATGTTAACAGATGCAATTCCCATTTATTTCTATGGGAACTTTGCCTGTTTATACCAGGGTGTAATTTGGCCCTATATCTAGAAACTCAAACATAGTACTTTGAGACCACACTAAAAATATTCTAACTTTAAAACAAGATAAGGGAGAGAGAGAAAAATACATGTGTTTGTATTTCCTCCTCTCCTCCCCCCAAAATATATGAGAGTCAGGCAGGAGCTAAAACACTGAAGACTCAGGGATGAATCTTATCAGACATACGGCACTCCCTCAGATTACTTTGTTGAGACTTACTTTGTATTCGCCCTGCCTCATGTGTTCTTTATTCAATGGATAAAAATGAATTTGTAAAAATACACAGATGACAGAAAAAATGCAGCTGCCAAAACATAAAAGATTCCCAATTTATCATACAAAAATCACGTGTGCGCGCTGAGTGATATGGTCTAAAGGAAAACAAATCAAAAAATGGACACCAGCTACATAAAATAGTTTATTAATTATATGCCTCCTTATATACATGTAAGGAGATATTTTGCAGGGTATTAAGGGGGAGAAAACAAATATTTAAATAAGTTTAGAAAGGTACTGTCCTGACAGCCCTGCAGCCAAAAGTCCTCTGTTTATCCACAGAACAGATACTGCTTCAATCCTGATCTGAAAGGACTACCTCCAACAGATGAGGGCAGTTATTAATGGTTTGTAGCACAGTGGGGCTAGAGGTTCAATTCTGTTGGAACTGTACAAACATACAGTAAGAGATAGTTCCTGCCTGACAAAGATTGCTATCTAGGACCCTGATCCTGCAAAGGACATACAGTAACTCCTCACTTAACGTTGTAGTTATGTTCCTGAAAAATGTAACTTTAAGTGAAACAATATTAAGCGAATCCAATTTCCCCATAAGAATTAATGTAAATGGGGGTGGGGTAGGTTCCAGAGCAGCTTCCCCTACTCTGCAAGCACCTTCAGCCCGCCCATTCCACTCCTTCCCTCAAGGCCCCACCCTTGACCCGCCTCTTCTCCCCCACACCTCCTCCCCCTTTACTTCACTCGCTGCATCCTGGCTCCTCCCCCCCCTTCTAAACGCCGCAAGCCAGCTGATTGCCGTGTAGGGGAGGGAGGGGGGAGGCATGCCGAGTCCTCGCTTCTCCCCCCTCCCTTCTGCCCGGGGCAATCAGCTGGCTTGTTGCATTTGGGAGGCAGGGGGAGCCTACGCGCCGAGTCCTCGCTCCTCCCCCCTCCCTTCTGCCCGGGGCAATCAGCTGGCTTGCCGCGTTCGGGAGGCAGGGGAGGGAGGGGGAGCCTGCGCGCCGAGTCCTCGCTCCTCCCCCCTCCCTCCTGCCTCCAAAATGCCACAAGCCAGCTGATTGCCGCGGGCAGGAGGCGGGGGAGGAGGGGGAAGGCGCTGATCCGCAGAGTCTGCCGGCGGGCAGGAGGCGCTGAGGGAGAGGGGGCCATAGGGAGGCTGCCAGCTGTGGAGAAAGCAGACAGCCAAACAACGTAAGAATGGAGCATTGCACAACTTTAAATGACTATGTTCCCTAATTGATCAGCAACGTAACAACGAAACAACGTTAAGCGGGACGACTTTAAGTGAGGAGTTACTGTACAATGCCTATTTTTATATGCGGAGTACTCCCATTGACGTCAGTGGGACTACTCACAGAGCCTAAAAATTAAGCATGTATGCAAGTCTTTCCAGGATCCGAGTCTCATTTAAGGCGTTTCTATATTCAGTCCTTGGTCACTGCTGAATTGGTCCCCATTAAAAAGGTAATTATGATGGGTCAAAAAAAAAAAAAAAAAAAAAAACAAACCACAAACACCTTTGTGTGACAGACTAACAATATCCTGGACAAACCTTATGGAATTAAGATAAATTTTAAAGTAAGCTAAACCTTATTGAATTGGGGTTAATACTATTAGGGTCCATTGTATTAAATATGTAATTGTGTGTGTGTTGTTATGGAACTGCATGTACCTTTTCTAGTCGGAGGGGGTTGCCACTCCCCTGGCAAGGTGCACATATACTAGTTCAAAAGACAAGAGACCAACAGACAAAGAAAGGATTTTTGGATAAATAGCCTGCTTTCAGATTGGCTCAAGGCCTTCTTTCTGATCTAGCAAATGGACAGGGGCCCTAATCCTTAGGGAAGAATTGGAAAGACTTGGCCTACTGAGGCACCATTAAACTAGGTGTCTGTTCTGAGCTGAAGCTGTGATTAAATTGAAACCACAAGAAACCCCTTGGGTGGAGTATTGAACATCCCGTATTAGGTTGGGATGATCACTGATAAGCTTAGTAGCATGCGTTTTTATTGGTTTTAATATGTTTTGTCTGTAGTGCTTTTACCTTAAAAATAAAAAAGGCTACGCAGAAAGAGCTATGTCATAACTTATGACTCTTATCAGTCTCTGTAGAGAAAGCAAGCAAGTGGGCAAGGACAGCCTCTGCTAGGGATAACACAGTGAAGGCAGGAAACAGTGCAGCCTGGAAATACCCCAGTAAGAAGTGGGTGAGACATGGGGGTCTACACAAGAAAGGCAATGGCTAGGGAGCTGGAAGCCTGAGGGTAGGTGCCCTTGCTGGATCACAGAGGGGGAATACAGGTGCAATTGCCCTGAGCTGTGACACCTGGCAATAAACTGACACTATCAACTCATTTCACATAGGCCAATAGACGACTTGCGATGAATTTAAACACATGAGGTGAAGTCCTGGCCCCATTGAACTCAATGGAAATTTTGTCATTGATTTCAATGGAGGATCTCACCCATGGTCTAAGGAACAGAGGCTTGTATAAAAGCCTTTACTAATCCCCTGGGCCACCCAGGCCCTCATAATTAAAAGGACAATTAACCACTTTCTTTGTTTCCTGTTTTTCTGTTCTGACACTTGAAAATAATAAGAAGAAAATCTTTCCATGTATAAGCAGTGCAAATAGTGATAAACATATTAAACAGTGCTTTTCATCAGCAGATTTCAAAGCACTTTACGAAGGTCAGTATTATTTATCCCCATTTTACTGCTTGGGAAACTGAGGCACAGAGCAGCAACATGACTTGTTCAAGTCTACCTAGGAGGCTGCTGGCAGTAGGGTGATCAGATGTCCCGATTTTTGGGTCTTTTTCTTATATAGACTCCTATTACCCTCCATCCCTGTCCCGATTTTTCACATTTGCTCTCTGGTCACCCTAGGTGGCAGAGACAGGAATAGAACCCAGATCTCCTGAGTGCCAATCCAGTGCTATGGACACTAGGCCACAGTCCATCCCATTTAAACTCTTGGGTCATATTTGTAGCCTAGATACATGGATTTCAGATGTAAATATACCACATGCTTTCTGTTGTGTACAGGCATACCTAGATCCAATAAGTTTTAAAGAATTTCCTGTGTTGGCTACTTACCATTTTGTAAGAATTTGAGCCTTTCATAGAGATCATCACAATTTACTGAAACCAATCCCATTACAACGTCACTGTGCCCTGAAGATAAAAGAAGAGCATTAAATTGTTAACTTGTTTGTAGTCAGGACGCTTTCAATATATAAAGGGTTGGGGGGTTGTTTTCTTGGTCCTGCTACTACATACTTCCTTTTCTGTTTTTGCAGTTTAAGACATCAGATATTTCTCCTCACTGCTGCCATCATCTATGCACTGACATACACAGCCTTTCCTACCCAGTACTCCATACAGTTTCGGAACCCCGACGTGGCCCTCAGGCCAAAAAGATTGCCCACCCTTGGTTTATAGAGTGTTGTAACCCTGTATGTACTTGAGTGACAGTCTGTCGGGTCTTGTAAGGAAGTACAGAGCTATTCTTCTGACTCATCCTGGAAATCAGATCATTAGCTCCATTCAGGAATATAAAGGACTCTTTGTTGTACTACTGATTGATCTCTTTATCTCAGAGAAGCCCTTGAAATTGCCAGAGTACACTCTCCTCAGTGAAACAAACCATCTCCCACATCCAGTAATGCCCCCTGGTAGCTGAGGGGTTGTCTACCAGCTTTGTATCAGCTACTGCAGCCCCAGCCAGCAATCCATCTGAGAATCACTGACTGATGCACTCACTTTACTGAGCTGCCTGCAGTTGCTGGCTGGGGAGTGGCCCAGCCAGAGTGAGGGTAGGGGGACACTGTTGGGGGACATAGTGGGTGTGTGGGTCAGTGATGCATAGCTGGCGATCCAGGTGAGGACCTGCAGAGCGGGAGAAGAGGATTTGTAAATGAGGGGTGGGGATTTAGAAGGGGATATCCATGATCTAAAGGGATACACTGGCTGAGGGAGCTGTCAGAGCTAAGAGCTATCAAGGAAGACAGTCAGAGTTCACACCATCTATTGTGAAAGTGTTTCCCACCTAAAGTAGCACCCAGTTTATTAAGCTTCCACTGACTATTTACCCCTACACATTTCAGGAGGTAACGCCAGTCACTTGTGGCCTTCCACTCAGCATTTTTGCACGTGGACATAAGGTGCTTTTCAAACAGTTGAGGGTCATTACAACCAATGGCTCTCCATAACACAGACAAGAGAGAAAGGCAGAAGGTCCTGGAGGGAGAAATGCTAGTCAACTTGCTCAAGAAAGAGCTTAGGTTTGAAAGTACAGTCCTGTTTTAGGGATTTGTTATTTTAAATTAAATAAAGGCAAATCAGTTGGGCAATATCTGTTGTGTGTATGCTGTGGTCAGGAACTGGGTAGAAATACCATCCATTTATACGTTTCCTCAGAGCAAGGATTTCTGAGGGCTCTTTAGACAGATACGGAGAACAACGCATGAAGCAGCAATAGAAACTGATATTTTATGGCAATTATTATTGGTTTTAGACAAAACCAAGAGAACATTTGAGCTATGTAATATTCAGACGCTTACCATTCATGTATTTGGTTGCTGAATACATACAAATATCTGCCCCAAGAGACAAAGGACGCTAAAATGGAACAAACATAGAAGATCTGATTTAACATTCTTTCACCATTTTCAATCACAAACTACTCTCATCTCATCCCACAGAAAGCAGAAATTTGGTGATCAAAAAAACGAAGACTCAAGTAACAGACACACAGGCTGGGAGTTTCAAAAGTACGTCTATCTCCTATTGACTTCAGTGGGAGAAGAGTTAAGGCAATGCAAAGCACTTCTCAAAATCCTACCCCTAGTTTTTAAAATTATTTTATTTCCATTTACAGACTGCACCTACCAGACGGCTTATAGGCATGTACAGAATAGTAACCACTTCAACATGCTTACAACCTAATCAATGTTAACTGCACATACAAAATAACTTGCCCTACCAATCAAAACCCTGCGCCTCTTCAAAGAAAGGCCCAGGTAACCAAGCCAATTTGTTCATTGCATTTTTTTACACTTGTGTCTGGATTTGTCTTTCACCTTAATGACACTGCCACAGGAAAATCGAAGAGAGTTTAGAGCAGGAGCAACTGACAAACAGAATTCTTCACATTTGCTTAAGTTTTCAAATTGCTCTTCCAAGGAAAGAGTAATTGGAAGTGACAAGAGAAACAGCTGCTTTCTCTAAAAATGATCTGATTTTACATCAGTCACTAAATTACAGACTGCAAATTATTACTCTTTAACACTTATACTGTGTTTGTTCAGTGTGTTAAAAGGCCAATGTAGTTAATAGATTCAGAACAAAAAGGTAGAAAAATCTTGCTGTCAGACTATGTACAGAAGTTTGTACGGTCTTGCTGTCATCTCTCAATAGTGGAATAGTAATTAAAGCACTAGTGCTTTCTTCTATATGCAACATATTAAAGTAATAATAAATTATGGGGATAGTTATCCTTTTAGGCGTGTGTCCCAGTAGCAACCTTCAAGTGTTTAATACATTACCTTTTAATACTTGTCAGACAATCCTACAGAGTTAATCATTGAAATAGATTTTCTCTCTTGTGATCAAGTTAACGGACATATTAACTAGACAAGTTATTGCATATATTGCTCCTTCAACACATTTCCATATTGAGTCTTGCAGAAGCAACTCAGAGCCAAATTAGAAAAAAGATCACTAAACTTTTTTCAAACTAGAGCCCCAATTCAGCAAAGCACACACTTAAACTTTAAGTAGTTGCTTATATGCTTTGATGAACCAGTGCCTTAAAAGGAAGAATATGAGGTATTACCTTGACAATGCCAAAATCTTACAACTTTGTATTTGTGCAGATCTACTTTAATCACATACAAATCCTTTATTTTGTAGCGCCTTCTAAATTTATGAAGAAATTAAAAAGCAAACCAAACACGACAATTCCTGTTCCCAAAATGTAGTAAATTATTAATCTAATTTTCATTAAATCAGATAAGTGTATGTGTGTGTCTTGGCATGAACTGGAAGCATGAACTGGAAACTATACTTTGTCTGAATCTTATTCACTATACCTCAGGATTTTTTAACTTGAAAAAGTATTTCCACAAATGGAAAAAATAGGGGAGCTTTCTGTGGCCAAAATAAGCTCTAAATTACCACAAATAATAACTAAAGATTGTGTAGCTGAGAGGTTAAAGTGTTTTTTCTATATTTCGAAGATGCTGCGTTCAAATACATTGAGGTTATAGTGTTAAAATATTTTGTTCACTTGTTCTCCAAATCAAATGAGATTACAGATTTATATTTTTTAAAGAAAACAATTAAAAACACAGTGTAAGGCCCAGAAAGGTGTCCTAGATTAAAACAAACAAGACAGGAGAAGAATTCAGCCATTTAAAGAGGAGTTAACTATAAAAGCAACCAAATCAGAAAATCTATTTAAAAGGTCATGTTAAGTCACAGTTAGAGAAGGTAGAAAATTAGCTTCACAACTGTGCTAGTGCCTTAGATAATTGTTTTGATTTAGTGCAACCATTAACTAAATTGGCCTCTTTGTTTTAATAGATCTCACATCTTTATATGGTTAGCTGGTTCTTTTTCCAATTCATTCTTTAAATGGCGTAAAGTGCTTTGGATCAGATCTGTATTAGTTAAAGAGCCAATTGTGCATCACACTTTCAGTGTGAAAGCTTTAAAACAAACCAGAGGCCAAGAGCACACAGTTCTTCATTGGTCGTCCCTTCTGCCATTAGAAATCATTAAAAAAAGATAAATAAATCCCTGTGTACCAACCTTTTCCCCCATTATTTCAGACACCCAGTCAGCTTACCTGGAAATATGCTGACATAAAGGTGTTGTCTACTACTAAAATAATGTCTTTATGTTTATGGATGACATCTGCACAGCCTTGAATATCAATGACCTTCAGGGTGGGATTTGTGGGAGTTTCGAGCCAAACAAGCTGTAATTTTTCAACAAACAGAAATCATTAGTTTTAGATACATTGTGTAATTTACAGGTACCATCACCTATAACTTTCTTTTTAAAAGGACACTTTTTCCTTTTCTTCTTTTGCATATATTCTGAAGAGAGCACCAGACTGAGCCTCACATACTTACATCTGGGCCTGATGCTATGGATCTCACTCACACATGCACCCTCCTTTCTTAGAATTCCTTTAGCAACAGCTTTACCAATAGAATAGTGAATTTTTCTTCATTTTTTAAGAAAAGCTCTTAAAAATCATTAACTGTATTTAATATTAGTTTGCCAAATGCCATGTTCCCATCCAGCTGTGAAGAAGTGTAATTACTAAAAAAGAACCCCATGAAAAAGCAGCCTTTAACCATTAACAGAGTCAACAGCAAAACCTTCCCTCCTCAACCCAGAAGCCCCTTTACAACATTCACCTTTGAACAAACCATTATTACTAGCCCAATAAAAAAAAAAAAATGTCCCTCTCTACATGGCCCCTGAAGTGTTTTGAATTTGCCACCCAAATGCAGAGCATTCCCAAGAAGAGACTTCAGAACTTTTAAGATCTCTGTGTTTATGCTTTCTGCCATAAATAAAAGCCAGTCCTAACAACTGCTACACTCCTATAGTAAAAACAGCATTTGTAAAGGAACAAAACAAAATAATTCAAGACACACTGCAAATGGAATTCAGGAGTATTCTTCCATTACCTTTGTATCTGGTGTGATTGCAGCCTCCAGGCATTCCAATTTGCTACAGTCAACAAAAGTAATCTTCAAACCCATTCTGGAGGCTACCTTCCTGAAATATCTGTTTGTACCTAAGACAGGAGAAACACTGTATTATGAAAGATATGCTTCTGTTTTACACTTATTTTATAAGAGGGAAGAATTTTTCCATGAACACTAGAGCACACTCACTGATTTTCATTTTATGGGTAAGAAAGGCTCAAGAGGACGGGTGGAAGACAAAGGCAGGATGCTTTATGCAAAAATTAGATTAGTAATTTTGTATTTTTTAAAATACCTTTTAATGACTGGATGGGCTATTCCCTTCCTGTATGCAATTCAAGCTGCCACTTCCCCCTTTTCTCTGGACTTGCCACCAGATGATTCGTGCCAAAGCTGTGTAAAAACTTGTAGAAAACACATTTAATAACAATAATTCCAATGCCAGCCAAGTAACTATGTACAGAAGACCTTGATTATATGATAACTTATCCAAAGCATGTGTTGACCCTTGACGGACAAGCCATCCAGGTTGGGCAGAATTGTGGGAGATGGTGCTAGCAGAAAGGAAATTACTGGGTAAGAAATTTTCTGTTCTGCAGCCCACTGTCTCCCACAATTCTGCTACACATGCGAAGCAGCGAACAGGACCAGAGAGGGATAACAGAACAAACACAAAGGAAACAAAAAGACCTCTCTCTTTTACAAGATTGCTCAAACAACATGGTTATTACTGGACCACCACCTTTAAGACCTTCCTGCCAAAGGAGCCCTCCGCAGAAGACAGAAAGTCCACTCTATAGCATCTGATAAAGGTTTTAGTTGATGACCATATTGCTGTTTTGCAGATCTCTGTGGTGCAAGCATATGCTCTTTTGGCCCATGAGTCACCATAGATATTGTGCAGAGCTCCTTGATTCCTTCTGGTACAGGAACATTGGCTGCATTGTATGCCTCAACAATACATAATCTGATCCATCTAGCAAGGGAGAGCGTCAAGATTCTGAGTCCTAGAGTTTGGTTGGAAGGAGACAAATAGGGTGCCTGACCTCCTCACGGACTCCGTATGCTTGATGTAAATCTTTTGTGTTCTTCTAACATCCAAAGTGTGCCACAGCTTCACAGCTGGGTGCTGTGGCTTTGGACAGAATGAAGGGAGGGAAATCTCCCATGAGGCATGGAAAGGAAAGTTCACCTTTGGCAAGAAAATTTCTGGCATTCTTAGCACCACCTTGTCATCGTGAACATGCAGTAAGGTTTCTGCATAGCTAAGGCTGCCAGTTCTGAAAGTCACAGGGCAGATGTGATAGCCACCAGAAAACAGGTTTTGATGGAGAGGTAGTATGATGACGCAGAAGTCAGGGGTTCAAAAGGAGGAGTGGTTAGGGCTTTCAACACCAGTGATGGATCCCATTTAGCCAAGGTCAGTCCGACCACCAGTCTGACTGCTCTGGGAAGCCTGGAAACCTGAAGGTTCTTGGTCAGGGAGCGTAAAGATTCTGTGAACAGTACGCTACATAGGGCTGATACCTGAAGTCCCTTATCCACCCCTTGAAGGAAGTCTAGAATAACTGCAATCCCAGGATCTTTTGGGTTTGCTCTATGCTCGATTGACACCAAAGGCTGAATTTAGTCCAAATGGATGAGTAGGCTTTTAGAGTGCACGCTCTCCTAGAGGAGAGCTAAGTCCTCTATCTCTTCTGAAGATAGGCCGAGCACAGCTAACACTTCCCTTTCAATAGCCAGGCTGCTAGATGAAGGCGTCTACCAAATCCACTGAGGTTTGGAAGTCCCCTTGAGACAGACGTCATTATCAAAGCGAGGATCTCCATCTGAAACTTTGTTTTCTTCATCCATTTGTTGAGCCTTTTGAAGTTAAGGATGGCTCTGATTCTTCCTGTGCCCTTCTGAATAGTGAAGAAAATAGAGTAAAACCCTGAAAAGCATTCTTTTGGGGAAATCCTATCACTCACATGTCCAGAGGTGGAAGATCTCATTCTGAAACAACTTGCGCTTGGCAGGATCCAAGGTGACTGGAAACTGGAGGAGGGGGTGTGGTGGAGTCCTCATCTCAAGAGAGTAGTAACTCTGGCATGCTCTCTCTCAAATCCACTTGTTTGTGGTTGAACTAAACCATTTGTCTTGAAAATAGTACACCCTGTCTCCAAAACTCAGGTCTGGGTCAAGGTATGTTTGCTCATTGTGATACCGAAGATGGGGGTTTTCCCCTCACGCCTCAGTTCCAAGGTTTTCCCCTTATATATCTGTTGTCTTTTCTCTGGAACCTCCATAAAGAAAATGAATGAAAGAAGTGTCTCTGTCTGCATGTGGGTTTGTAGTCCCTTCTTAGAGCACTAAGTGGAGAAGGGAGGATTGATTGGTTTTAGCTGCATTTTCAACCACTATCTTATCCAACTTTTCTCCAATGAGGAGAGATCCTGTGAATTTAGAGAAGCAAAGGGCTTGTTTGAAGAGAGTAATTACTTTACAGGGAAGAAGCCATGCCTCGTGGCCGCAGAGCTCGATGCCATGGCCCCGGCACAAAACTGCATAGCATCAATTGACACACTGCCACAAATGCTGTTGCTATGGAGATTTTCATACGTATAGACAAAGTTGGTTTGGTTTTTGCCCTTAAGAGCTTTACATTATTCCAGCCATGACACTACGGCTCGAGCAAAGCAAGTGGCTGCCAGAGATGCTCCGAGAGTGTCTGGGGAAGCACTGAAGTCCCTTCTGAGGGTGGCGTCCACCTTCCTATCCATCAAATGCTTGGGAAAGAAGTCTTCTTTGGATGGAATAACCATATCCTTGCTAGAGATGCTACTGCAGCATTGACTTTAGGCATGTCAGTGACAGCATTTTTTGACTCCTGGATCTTGTACAATTTAAGCATGTACTTTAGTGATTACCCTTTTCAGGGGCTTCCCACTCCTCCCTCATTACCTCCTCAAATGGCATGTACAGGAGCATAAAGAAGATTTAGCAGGCAGTATTTACTCTGAAGCTTGTCCTCATGGGCCTGCTTAGGTTGGATCTGTATAGGGGAGACAACTTTTTCCACGTGGCTTCAAACTTCTCAGGGGGTGGGGGGGGACACAAAACAAAACCTTTGTTGGATTTTATCTGTGTCCTGCTCAGAAACTAAGTCTGATAGCTCTCCTTCCTTGGTAGAGAAGGAGGACAAAATACTTTTGGGGCTTTTTCTTATCCTTTTTGTTCTTTACTTTTTCGGGAGATGGGAGGGGAGAAGAGCAGGGGGGCACATGCTTTTCAGGCATGACCATGCAGCTATGCCCTGGGCAGAGTCTTTTGCGGCTAGCCTTGCATAGGCCCTTGACCATGCTGGAAACTTCTCCCTTGGAGTCCTCCCCCATAGGCTCCTACTCCCCCAAGCTGGGGGATGGGGACACATTGCCAGAGTTTCCTGACTCAAGTTTCCAACTCAAGGAGGGAGGGGGGCTGATTGTGAGCCCAGATTCTTTCCCCAAAGTATTGAGGACCCATTTCAGGACTGAGGTGTGGGGGTGAGGTGGGAACAGTAGCCCTGCTACAGACTTATCCTGATTTTGAATTGCCCTGGGCTGGCAGAATGAAGTCCTCCTGGTCCTTAGAGCCTCTCCCAGTTCTGTTTTAGGTTTCCTCATAAGGATTTTCTGTGGTAGAGTCACCGCTTCCTGGGGAGATCGGGTCCCAACATGTGTGTCTGGCTAAATGCTCCGTGCCCTAAGCTGGCTGACCCTTGCACTGCTAGATTAAGCAGGGTGTAATTCACCCTCCATGGAGCCCGTTAAAGTTGCCTCCCAGATGAAGCAACATCTGGGCTTAGCTCTGTAGTTGGGTGGCTGCTCTGCCATCCCTGAAAGGGGGCAGAAGATCTCAGCAGGGAGGCACTGAAGAGGAGACTCCGTGCAGTTTCACCGCTGCACTGCTGAATACCTGGTCCAAGAGAAGGAGAAGAAAAACAAAGAAGGCTGTTCACCGCTACCTGAAAACAAAGAAAATAAAAAGGCAAAGGAAAGGTCAGAAGAAAAGAGAACCGCAACTGACTGCTGCCAGGGAAGCAGAAAATCTGGTGGCAGCCAGAGAAAGGGGGTTGGTGGAGTGCTGCAGCTTGAACTGCCTCCAGAACAGCACACAGGAGGCGACTAGCTCATACATAGCAGAATTATGGGAGATGCTGGGCTGCGGAGTCTTGTATTTTCAAACAGTGCTGTGGATGTAAGTAATGGGAGACAATTAAGGCTATTGTTTCAGATAGATTTCTTAAGTACTTTTTATTTTGTAATATTATATTGGTCTCTCCTATAGGAAGATGAAAGTGAGGATTGAAAGGAAATCTTTTTACTGGTCCCAAAGTGCACACCCATAGTGGTTTTCAACTTGAGACCTGAAAAGAAGAGGGGAAAAAAAATAGAACGCTAGAATACCAATGTATCCATTGTACTAAATGCTCTCCTTACTCTGATTTGGGGCATTCAATACACAATACTAATGGGTTTTGAATATCACTTGGAAAGCATTATGCTTAGGACTATTTGAATGTTTTCCCCTTCATTCATGAAACTAGCTATTATTAATAAAACAAAAGAATGGACTTACTTTTGTTACATGGCTGAATTACAACACTTGTTAATTACATTAATTTTCCGTTTTTCAGACAGTCCATCTGAGTTTGCCTTCTTCCTCCCTTCCCTCCAGCCCCTTGCAGTTCTACTCTCCACATCATCTTTTCACATCCCCACCTCCCCTAATTCTCCTCACTGTCATATATTTCCACCATGCAGCTTCAGAGTAGTCACCTGTTTCAGAGTCTATTTAGTAGGCTTAACTAAGAATTTAGGTGGGAAGAGAAGAAGCAGGAAGAGAGATTACAATTATTTTGTTTCTTGTCATTCCATTACAGTCGGTAGTGACAACAGCAAGGAGACTGATATTCCCCATAGACAGTGTGGATAAAAATCAATCGGATTTTTTTTTTTATAAAAGGTTTTTCCCCCCCTCAAAAAAAACCTATCTAAAAAGAGTATTAATTAAGATCTCTTTGAGCTATAATGTATCTCATCATGGAATAGGGATTATAAATTCTATA